GGTGACCAGAGGGGCTGAAAAACCCTAAAGGCTTTTGGAACCACATTGGAAGTAAAAGAATGACTTTGCAATGAAAATAAAGACAATATTCCACTACTTGCACATTTCTGGAAGAATTTGCTTCAGATGCAGAAAAAAAAACAATTCCACCTACCCTGAACTTCCTGAAGAAACCTCTGCTTCTTAGGCTCCTGTGAACCTTCATCACAAGGAGTCGCAGCAAACTCAGCATAAAAAGATTTAAATATTGCCCTGTCATGGCTGAGACATCATATCCAAGGTGAAAAATACACCTGGCCATTTCTCCTAGACTACTAAGGCCTTGCTTCTTCTCTCTAGACCTCTGAGTGTGTCTGTAGAATGAGCACCTGTTAATGGATATGGAGCATTAGCATGACTTTTAATAGGTTATCAGATCATTGCAGTGCTAGAAAATCTTCCTTGGAGGCCCCTGTCTGGGACAACATATTTCTGGATTCCTCCAAGTGAATCCTCTGGGGGGAAAATGGCAAAGCCTTTTTGTTTTATTCTTTATGAAGAAAGCCCTTGGAAGATTGAATTTATAATTTTAGGACTAGTTCTGGCTTGTGAGCACCTCTTACCATTTTTTCCCCCTGGATTCATATGAGCTAAGCCTAAGCCCATTTGATTCTCAGGCTACAATTTTTATTTTTATAGTTTTTATTGAGAACATTACAGTGGATGTGATGTAGCTGACTGAATTAATAATTTTCAGATTTATAGAATTCTGCTTCAAAAGACCAGGGAAGAAGCATGTGCAAACTGATAAAGTTGTTTAATTGTAAGTTAACTTGTTGCAACCACCAGAAGAAACTTATGTTGCCAGGGTCTCATCCATGTTGGTTGAGCATGCATTTGACAGTGTGAAAGAACCAGGATTGTGAGCCTGAATCATTATTGTGACAAAAGGGTCATAACTTTCATTAATTGAATTGAATTATCAATGTCCTCATTTATATTCAGGGCGTTTTAGTAGCTTGGCCATTTCTTCCCTGCTTGAACTGAATGTAAAAGTGATGAAACCACAGGTTGAGCTTAAAGCGCTGCAAATAAAAGTCTGAGGGTAAAATGTGCAGGCAGGGAACAAAAGGGTATGACAGAAAAGGGTCTAAAAGAGAAGTCTCAGATGCTTTGGTGTGATCCCTCCTTATGCTCAAACACCTCTGGGGTTTTCTGAGTGGTTGGTTGATTGGCTTCTTTTTGTTAAAAGATTCAGTAAATAATATTTCTCCATGCAGTTTTATTCATGAGCAGCTCCTCATTTGGTATCTGATTTTCAAATTATGCTGGGCTGATTTCCTAAACTCACAGGCTGCATTGTACCTCCTGGTAGAAGGGGAGTAACTCATACAGTTTCTAAGTGGGAATGCTTATATTGGTAACTGAGATTACTCCTTGAAATATCCTTTTTCAAAAAATATTGCTGCTCCAAACTTGTTCTTTGGACTATTTCCCAAAGAGTTAACAATGTATGTCCAGAAAGGTAAATGAAACACTTTTTTGGAAGGGTGTTTTCAGAAAAGATTTACAATAGTCCCTCTCTGCTGCTTGCAATGGTCTAACATTTCACCTTGACAGTGTTGTTTTGGGAAGAAAATAAAACCAAGGTTCTTTGTAAGGTGTAGGTTTCCCTTGCAGATTAACCTGCTGCTTACCCATGGGCACAGGACTCAGTTCTGCTACTTCTCAGATTACTTAAGCCAAAACTCACAGTAAATGAGCCAGGATTTTTTTCTCTGTGGTGTGACTACCCTGAACTGAGGATTACTCTGGACACAGCATTGTTGAGACTCTGAAGTGTCACCTGCACAACAATCCCAAAATATCAGCCCTCCATAAACATTTCAGGATAGAGAGTCACATGAGGGCATAATCTGTTTTGATATAAGAAATTAAAACCTATCCTTTACAACAAGAAAACAGCCACAAGCTCTGTGAACTACAGGAAGATTCTTGATGTGGGTTAAGGCTACTATTTTGGGCAGAAATCTCAAAATATTGAAGTTATGTCTGTAAAGAAGACAAAAGATGAAAAAGTGAAGAATCATATATCTGAAGCATTGATATTTGTGCAATTGGATGGGTTATACTGAAGGGATTGAAGAGAAGCATTGGGCTTAGCTGCTTGCTTTTACTGTTTTGCATGAAAAAAGTAAAGTAAAAAGATAATGGGAAATTCTGCTAACTGTGCATTTACAAAAAGTTTGCAGTTAGTATTGGGTCTCCCATTACTTGATCCTGCAAAATACTTTTTCCAAATTTCTTTATACCTTACCTTAAAATGAGAAGTACTAGTCAATTCAATTATCTGACAAATAGCACAGATTCCTATTGTTATTAAAGTTACCCAGCTGGAATAACAATGCCTCACTGCTTGCCAAATCAACACCATCACAGCTCAGAGAGATAAAATTGTAACTGAATCCTCTCACATGCACAATGAAACTGTCCTGAAATGCTCCCTGCTCACAGCAAGTTGGGTAAAAGTTACTTCAGTCTTAGTAGTCAATGTTAAATTTTCTGCTTCCACGTTTTTTTTCTCAGTCCTTACTTCTTCTCCTTGGAGGTTTGTCTAATGCATTTCTCTCTTTGGGTACATCATACAAATTTACAAAATTCCTTAATAAGGAATTGCTTTCATGTTACCAAGAGATTTGACCTGACATTAGGGCAACCAGTCCTCAAATACCAGCCCATGGCATTTTGATTTATGCATCCCATGGGCTGTAATCAACCTGTTGCACATGGTAGCACTGGAATGCTGCCCCTCTTTAGAAGAAATGACTTCACCCATGGAATGTCACTAGGTCTGTGGAAGCTCAGAGGTAGAAACAGGGAGGACAAAGCTTACTGGAAAGGTACCTACAGAAAAGGTCTCCATTTTTTCTTTCCCTTGAAAATGCTTTTGAAGGCCCATAAAATTGTGTGGCGCATGCCAAATGACCTGTGAAATAACCATCCAGAGCTGTGGCTGTAAGAAAAATTACGTACCACTGCTGGCACTCATATTGATCTGATAAAACCTTTTTAATGAGAAATCATCAGGCCTTTGAATAGATGAACCCATGTGTCAGGAAAGAGCACAGCACAAATATTGGGGGAACAAAGGACCACTGCCACCAACAGCGGCAGGAGCTATTGAACATAAGGAATATAGAATAGATTTCTGTTCATGCATCTGAAATTGCAGATGATCTGCTTCAGAGATTAGTCTGGCACACCAACAGAAAGTCACATGCACAATACAGAAACTCTCTTACTGGAAGGAAGTGTGTATTGCAAATCTGATCCAACTTATTCTGTGGAGGGGACTGAATTATCTTTTAAATTGTGAGTTAGTAGATCCTAATGCATGTTTAGGACTCACTTATACCGCTTTTTATAGCAGAAGCTCAAGATGTAAATTGAAGGCTTATGGCAAGGCTGAATTTTGGAGGCTGTTTACTTAGTGAATTGCATTGTACCTCTTTTTGCTTGCTCATTGTGCCAGAACTGTGAGAGGGAGACAGTATCCCTTGAGAGGAGAGATAACATTTTTGATGGTTTTTTCTCCTTTGTTCTTTCTCTGTGCTTTTCCTTTGTCTTTTTGATCTCCTTTGTGCAGCTTTCCCAATCAGCAGTAACAGGTACCAGGCTGCATGGCTGTTACTTTGATGAAATCAATGCCATCATCTGACACCAATCAGCTACATCGATGATAAAGGTGAATGTTTGACATCTTGTTGTCTGAGGTTCATGTTACTACCTTGAGGGCATGAGCAGAAAAATGGAGGAATTTTAGTTGATCTGCTGGCCTTGATTTATTTTTTGTTTGCTTCAAGAGAGTTACCTTCATGGACAGCTTTTTTTAAACTCTTCTAAAGCATGGACTGCTAGATTCTGCATTGCATTAAACATGCCTAGTGTGTCACACACAAGCACAGCACATGGTTCTTATTAACCTTATTAATAGAGGAAAGTGAAATACAAACCTTGAGTACAATACCGACGCAGATGGCCACCCTCAGACGAATCTCCTGCCAGGCTGTTGCCAAGCACCTCTCACCTGTTTGTCCTAGCAATGCATCACTGGGACTTGTTGATTTCCAGGCTTAAAACTGGAATTTGGTAGATAATGTTTTCCTATATGTGTTATTTATCTGGGAGTTGCCTTTCTTCAGATGTCTTTTGTTTCTGCCAGGGCATTTACCAGCTGGCAGAATCTCTACTTGCTTGCTCTTTGAAAGATGGTAATACATGGTTTATAAACTCCCCAAACTGAATAAAGCTTGTGTAGTGACACAGAAGAGAATGTCAGAGATGCACAGACATCAACCTTTCTTCCTGTTGCCTGCCTGTGACTTGCAGAATCCCAGCCACAAACTGGGATTCAAACCAGAATTTGGAGGTCAATAGGCTAGAAAGATTAGCAGGTCCAGTTTTGCCTTTCAGATCATGGGGTGATAACTTTTCAAGGGTTTGTCTAGGAAACAAAGCATCTTTCCTTTATTTGGATTTCAGGTAAGGGATAGCTATGGACCAGAGAGGACTCTCCTTTCTTATCTCTGTAACAGTGTAGAAAGTGATAAAGAAAGTAGCCCCATGCATCTGCCTGTCTCAAACAAGTCTCCTCTCTCACCTACTGTCTCCCAAAAAGCATGGCTCAAGGGACTCTATCCCCTGTCATCCTTGCTCTAGAGAGCAGATCTTGGAGGCCAGCCCCAGGAGCACATTGCTCTTTCTGATGTTCTTGCTGCCTGAGAATGACTTCTCTGGGGACAAAATAAAGCAGCGTAGCAGGTGTTCTTTCATTGCAGTATCCATGGTAAGCCCTGAAGTAGTTTGAGGCAAACATACAGAAGGCCTTGGTGATTGCTACAGCACAGTCACACAGAGGTTGTAATGCTTTCTCCATGCTTTGAGTTTGATCACAGTAGAGTTTTGGATAGCCACCAATAATTTCCGGTCTTTGCAGGCCATCTACCAAAGCAAGTTTACATATCAACTCAGCTGGATCCAGTTGCCTGTGAAGCAGAAATCCTGTGTAGCCCTGATTACATCACTGGAGTGAAGTGATTGTAAGCAAAATCAGAGTAAATTTTTTTTAATCTGTTTTTCTTTTGACTAAGACTTACATTTATTTAAAGGCCAGTTATCTTGCTAGAAAGAAATTGTTGGGTGCTCTCTTGTACTTTTTTTTGTTCTTTTTACCCTCACTTCCTAAATTGCTATAGTTTCTAAGTGTCTAGCCCTGGGAAGTGGTGAAACACTTCCTAAACACATGTGAGTAAATAATGACCAGACAATTCTCACACTAAACTAGGTTGGTTTACCCATTACATAGGCCACAGCTCATGGTTTCAGGTATCAACAAGAAGCTGTTTCACCCCAGCTGCTGACCTTCCCAGTGTTGGCCATGATGGAGCTCTTTGGAAAACACGAAGCCCACTCAGACTGAGCCACTCTCCATTGCAGAGAAATCTCCATTAGCAGCTTTGGCAGTGTCTGCATGCATGTGAAATGCAGCGTAGCATCCTTGTTGCTGTCACTGGGATCCTAACCAGGGCTGGGCAGGGCAGGATAGAGTCTAGAGTCCTTGGCAGTGATGGTGGCTTAGAAAATCACAAGCTCTCTGAACAACCCACTTCAAACCTGGAGTTTGGCCTGTCCTCTGGGAGCTTTGAGCCATGCTCAGATCTCTACTGTATCACCTTGCCTGGCGCTGTGTGGATGTAAAAAAGCAATGAAGATTCCAGATCTGGTCAGGATGGGTTTTGAAACCACATTTACTTGATATAAAGGGAATTTACTGCTGCCATCCTAATTTTTCCATGGTCATGACTTAAACTGCTGACAGTTTGTGTTCTCCCTCCCAAACCAATTCTCTATTACTTCAAAAGGTCTGTAAAAAAACAGCGAGTGAAGGACACTTAACACAAATCATCCTATTTCTCATCAGATGTATATCAGCTCTGCATGGGCTCATTTTATTCTGAGAGCTTGTCATTTTATAATATTGCTAAATAAGATACAGACTGGGAGCCTGGCATGTGTCTTCTTCCCCACTCCCACACTGTGTTGAGGGCAGGGCAGGGCAGGACTCAGCAGGACCAAGCAGGGGGGACACTCCCTTTGGAGAGGAGTCCTGGTCCAGGTACTGCTTGTACCTCCACTTACCAGCAGTTGAAAGCAAAATCACAGTTTCCTTCTAACGGGAAAGTTCTTTGAGAAGCACTCAGAGTTGTAAAGAAAATCCAACTGCTCCTTGCCATCAGGCAGCACATCCAATTTTATTGAAAATTTTCTGGATTATTGCCAAAAAGACTGGCCAAATTGTCAGATTCCTGGTTCATGAAAAGTTCTGACATTTGGTTTTGTTCTGATTTGGAACGAAGCCAGTTATTTTGAAATTACCCACAAAAGAGAAGTTTATAGAGAAAAAGATAGGAATAGGAAACAATGACCCATGGTATTTCCAAAATAAAATACTCTCCCCAGGATATGCTTCTTTCCAGCCCTGCTGCTGGTTCTGACAGAGCAGCACGATGAGCCAAGGCTGGGGATGGGAGCCTATACTTTGGGACTGCTGACTCCAGCCAGGTCTCATAGCACTACCAGACTGCCTGTTTGGAAGCAGCAAGCCCACAATCCCTGTGTCCCAAGCAGACCACCAGGTTCACTGGCAGGAAGCCAGGCAGTTTTCCAGTGGAAAACTACATGTGGTTGGATATTGGTTAATTGAAATGTTTTACGTTTTAACATGAAATTTGCTGGCTCCCACGAATCAGTGTTTCCCAGTGCAATGATGTGCCATCAGAAATCTCATGATCAGCTCTAATTGCCACTTTGATGGCCAAAATCTTTGTTGACCAGAGTCCCATAACTTTCTGGCAATCACTAAATACCTTTTCATAAACACAAACAAAAAATCATATTCCGTTTTGTGCTCAACAACTGTGAAATTTGCAAGATTGTTTCTGGGCAAGGGTATTATTAAGAAAATTCCTGCCTTCAGGGCAGCAATGCTGGGGACACACATGTCCCTGTTTCAACCTTATCACCGCTGCATCAGCTTAAAACCACTTGAGAAGCATCGTGTTCCTACTTCTGAGGAGAAGACAATGGCCTCATTGCCCAATGAGGCATGTTGTCCAAGTCTAATTAGAAACAGGAACTCACTCACTAGAGCACTATTTATTCTTATTCTTACAGCGCAAGATTTCAAAAGTCTTTTTCATTGTTTTTATTATTATAATAGAGAAGGCTGTTTATTGATTTTTCTACTACATGAGTGTTTGTATACACTGACTTCCCGCGTCTAATGGAACAGAGCCTCCTAAAACAATAATAAAAAATAATAATAACCTCACTCGAGAGTGAAATAATTGTGGCCAAAACCATAGTTCAGTGAAAATTTTCCCCTCTTCTGAATGTGCTGCCAGAGACTTTCTGTGGTCTCACAGGCCCCATGCTCTCCCTGGCAGGGAGAGGATTTCTCCCCCCAGAGACCCGAGTGTCGGGGCCCTGCTGGGACTACTCCTGGGCGGATTCTCCCCTCCGAGAGCCAAATTTATCCCTTCTCTAAGATCAGCTCCATTTTTGGGTCACTGTGGGTAGGTGTGGCAGGGGTAGCCTGGTGCCACTTGTGGCAGGGTCCCCATGCATGGACTCCTGTAGCTCTGGGGATCTGCAGAATCAGATTTTGTTTACAGGAACATACATTTTTTCCTTCTGATTTTTATCAGGCATCCAGAAATGTGAACTCCCAGAAATTTGGATGCAACTAATATTTTTAGTTTCACCCAGAGTTTGCTCCTCCAGTTTCCTTGCTTTCTTCCTTGATTTCCAGTTTAAAAACTGACTTCACCCTCAAATCTGAAACAACCTATTCCCAGATCTGTTCTTATTAACTGAAACCTGTGTCTCAGTAAAACATATCAATCTTTTATCAATACTTCAAATGCCACTTTTCGGTTCCAGAAAGTTTGGCATCTGCCAAGAATCCTATCTAAATCCATTCTAAAGAGCTGCAAATGCTCACGGGTGAAGACCACTTGCTAGATACAGGTCAGCACTGGAAACAACTTACAAAGCACACCATTTTCCATGGAGCTCATCAAGACAAGAACAAAAGCAGCAAAATTCTTCTTAGAGTTCCCAGCAGCAGCCTCAGCATTTTTGGCAAGCATACGTACAGACCGCAGTAGCACAATGTAGCAGTGTGTGAGGGCAGATTTGTTACTGGAATTAGTCAAATCACAGCAAGGAAAGTGGTCAAGTCAGTCTGCTTTGTAGTCATTCTGTTTCCAGTACCCCAAAAGTCTCTCTCACATCTATAAAATAGATCAGAGTTGGGGAAGATGTTGCTCCCCATAACCAACTTTTGTGTGTGCAGGGAGCAAAGTGGCCATGCAGCTCCATCACTCAAATGTCACCTCTGAATATCTGTTCGCCTTATAGGGAGGCATTTGGTTTTTGCTTCTCTGTGACAGAGGAGATTCTTTGCTTATTTTCTCTGTTTCTGCAAGGACTAGACCTAAACTAAATCTTACCAAAGCTGACTCTTGCTATTTTATCTTCAGGTATCTTTCCAGGAGCAACTTCATTATCTGTGCATGGGTATGTACAGCTTGTGGGACCATAAAAAAACCTCTCAGTGTAAAGGCAAAGAGCTTTCTCCTTCTGGGCATAGATGGAGTCAAGAGACTGAATGAACCATCCACATCTTGCTGCATTGTCTTCCATTATCTCTCAGCCTTTACATCAGAAACACCAGAAGAAAACATGGTAAGACCATTTTTCTCACATTGTTTCTTCTAGGGAGTGTGGGGAAGCACAGAGAGGTATTTGTTGGTTGACCCATTGCAGAGGTATTCCCGTGGGTGGTAACCAGTGCCTTGCCTGTTTGAAGGAGCAGTGTTACTGATTGGTTGCATTCTAGTCTGAAAACAATTTTTGTTATATTTGTTTTTGGTGTTTAGTTAAGATGAAGTGCTGCTGGTGAGAGGCTTTTCAGACTACAGTGAAGTTTCATTTTTATTTAGCTCTTTGCTTGCGTTGTGAGAGACCCCTCAGCTGTGCAATGGGTGTTGGCACAGACATGGGGAGCATCTTTCTTTCACTTGACTGAGAGAGTTGTAGGTGAGGCCATGTGGGGAGGGAGAATTGATGAAGAGGAATGTGCAATATAGGGTGGTTCTTTTGTTACACAGCTAGCTGCCATGCAGCACAGGAACCTTTCTCACACTTTGGGATATGATACTTGACAGGAGTTTTTGGTCAGCCTCTTTTCCTTCCTGGGGCAGGAGCACTGCCCTTTGTTCCTGCACCTTGCCATGACTCCTCCCTGAGAGACAAAGCTGGGCTTCCCTGCTGTGTTGCACTTGTTCCAACCTTGTCTTGGGCTCTAAGAGCCGGTAAGGACACTGATGTTTAACAGGCTGGTGGGCCCTCAGCAGCAGCTCTGATATGGAGGTAAACCCCTCTTGTAAACACCATAAATCCAGGTTTAGGATTTGCAAGTCAAATCCCTGCCTGGCTAATGTGTGAAAAGATGTTTTTCTAGTCCAAAATGGTGATTATCACATCCACAAAGGCTCTGCTAAACTCCCACTGAGTGGGAACCAGGTACCTAAGGACCCCTGCAGATCTGGCCTTTACTGTGATGATTCAGTGACAAAAAAAAATAAATTCCTGTGGAATAAGGTGCAAAGCAATGGTTGTTAACATATGTTTAACTTCAAATGTTACTGCAAAACCTGATGAACCAGAAATAGACCTGAAGAAAGGGTGGTTTGGTTTCATTTAGGATTACTTGAGACTGTTTACGATTATAGTAGCTGTCTCAATTTTTGTAGATAAAGCTCTTCATAGTTTTAACACTGGCTGGAATGTAGATACATATGCTGAAAAGTACATAAGCCTGCTGGGGTTGGTATATTGGCGCAGTGGCTCACAGTCCTCCCAATATCCAGAGACTATAAAGAGGGTATATGCTACATCAGCTGTGTGCAGTCAGTTTCATTGTCCACCACTGTTTCATAAATCCAAGGCAAGATGTGCCAAAGAGAACACAAAAATTCACATGTATTTAAATGAATTTTAGGTTGGTGTGGTGGTTTGACTGTGGCTAAATGCTGAGTGCCCACCAAAGCTGCTCTAGCACTGCCCACCTAAGCTGGGCAGAGAGGGGAATATAGCTAAAAGCTACTGGGTTGAGATAGCAACAAGGGAGAAATCTCTCAGCAAATAATGTCATAGGCAAAGCAGGTTCAAATCCGGGAAATTAGTTTAATTTATTATTTAAATAACATTATTTAATTATAAATAATTTAAATTAATAAGCTAAATTAAATTTATATTTTATTTAGGAATTTAAAATTTATTTTATTTATGAATTTATTAAAATTATTAATTTAAAATAATTTACATTAATAAATTTTAAATAAGAATTTATTATATAAATCAATTTAATTTATTAGGTATGAGATCTGGGTAGGATAATGAGAAGTAAAAATAAACCTTAAAACACCTTCACCACACCTCCCTGTTCTTCTCAAGCTCAACTTTACCCCCAGTTGTCTATCCCTCCTCCCCAGGTGGCTCAGAGGGTTGGGAATGGGAGCTCCCTTCAGTTCATCACACATTGTCTCTGCCACTCTTTCCTCCTTAGGGGAAAGTCTGTCTTATGTATCTTCTCTTAAATGGACTCTAACAGAAATGGGATTTATGTGGCTACACCTAAAATCAGTTCTCAGTCATCAAAACAAGTATTATTACTTGTGTGCCATGTGTCAAGGGAGATGAAGGTCATGTGTTGGCTTTAAACTACAGGCTTCTCAGATGGGGTCAATAAATGGTGTGGGATGTCAGATTTGTTTAGTTTTCTCCAATAAAACAATCCTTTCTTCCTTTTAATCTGGAAGAGCCATCCATAATGGGTTGGGAAACAAAACAGCCTTTTTAGGAGGAACTCACTGACAAGGGCTGAAAGTCTTGGGCTCACTCTATGGAAACAGTCAGGCTGATTCACTGCACAGAAGTTAATTAGTATAAATGATAGAGGATCCAGCCTCTTTCCTTCACCATATATTTCCAAATATCTCCTGGAGCCAAATCGAGACACTGCACAATGAGTGTTTAAACACACTTGTCCCTCTCCCCCCTTGCTAGCAGCAGTGTCTGGAATACAGGTTGTAAATCAGGTCCTACAGTGATTGATCCTTGTGCTAGCAAGTGAAGCATAAAAATAGCAGCACGGTTGAAAGGACATTAAAAAAAGGGAAACAGACCATTATTATTTCTGGGCTCAAGGGAAAGAGCAGTTGAATCTGTCATGCAGGCCAAGTCTGAGTAGCCCTGGTCTGTCTGAAAAACACAGACAACTGCTTTGCTGCCTCCTCTGCAGCTGTGTGCACCCTGTAAACAAGGAGCCAGCCCCATTTTTCTAGCCTGTGAACCTGGGTCCCTGAGGTTTGAGTCCTTTCAGGAACTTCTCTTAAACCTCTTTGTGTGCTCTAAACCAACTCCTGTATTTCCCTGGCTGTGAAATAACATGCTGGCAGGGCAAATTGCATCTTTGATGCTGTCATAAAAGTTACTGACATGCCCACCATATATTTGAAGCATATTTTCCCCCTTATCTTTGGCTGGGGAGAACATTTCTGGGGCTTTCCATAGTACTGCTAGACATAGAAAATCCATAGCTTAACTATTCAGACAACTTAATTGGGAGTCAGGACGCTCCATCCTGTTAATGTTTAAACAACAAGAACTGCTGCTGAAGCAGGAAAGATAGGATAGCAATATTTTCATCAAAATAAATAGGTGAAAATAAAGATAGGAAGGAAAAACTTGCTGCTTATATTTATGCATTTATCCACCACTATTTTATTAACAAGAAGCTGTATAGAACTGAAGCAAAAAGAGAGGCTTATCAGTCTCAAAGTGGCTTTTAGACATTGACTGTACACTTAAGAGATCTTCTGATGTGGATAAGCAAAAGTAATAATGGAATAATTTGGCAATCCTTACTGTATGTACTGAGTGTAGCTGTTTCTTTCCAAGAAGGCAGTTTACCATTTCCATACTTCTGCTGCACATGCCTGGAAAACCCTGGTAAAATTCCATGCCTCTGTAACATGCACAGGTGCATACACATATAGGGTCTATTTTATGTGTATGTAAAGTACTGAGGGATTTGTTATTTCAGGGTTTTGGCATTACTCAGGTGGCTCAGGTGCTATTGAGCTCACTTTTAAAAGTATGAAAAATGCTTTTGTTTCTGAATATGACTGAATCCTCCCTTAATTACAGACATTGGCATCATCTTACCTGCCTCTTCCTTTATGCTGCTTCAGAAATTGAAAAGGATCCTGATGATTATTCAAGGAATCGAGTAACAATCCCCAGTCCTGTGATTTTATGATTTCTTAAGATTTCTGCTTTCCCCAAATGCCTGTGGTACCTCTTATCCCTTTTCTAACTGCAGTAAGATTGACTTAACTTTCTGTCCCTCACATCAAAGGCATTTTTGTGCTGTGTGTTTTATGTTCTCACTACCAATACTTTCTTTCCAGACTTTCTGATCACTTTTTATTCTTGGGAAATGTACATTAGCATTCAACAAGACCTAATAATGGTTTGTGCTGTGCTCTCAGTTTCTTGGCAAAATCCTGCCTTGAATGGCTTGAAAATTTCTGCTGAAAGTATGATGCTTATGCCCAGCTGTATCTCAGTGAATATCATGGTCATGAAACTTCCAATGTACTATTCTGGTGTTATATTCTCATGACTATGCTCTTCTCTGAGAAGAGCATGTGGTTTGGATACATGATGACATTTTGGGTGTGTTGTCTTTGACCAGAGTGTTTTGTGGTAGAAGTTCCCTATCAGGCAGGGAAGAAACATTTTCTTGGCTTAGTCTGTTTTGCCCTGCATGTGATTTAATTAGGACTGTCTCCATATTAATTAAAATAATCCTCAGTGAGGCAAAAATTAAGGCAATTATCAAACACATAATGATGTCAGTACACAAGTCTTTGCACCTACATATCAGCATGTACATGCCTACACCCAAGCAATGCCCTGAGTACCATAATACTCAATGCACAGCAAAAATCTACTGTATTCTTACAGGGCATCTTTGTTTGCTGAAACATGGTGCTTTTCTGACACTTTTAACTTCAAACAAATCTTAATGTGGTGTGAATGCTTAGCTTGATTTAGGAGCAGCTTGCTTCAGTTTATTTTAAACCCATTGAGCCTTGGGGCTGAGATACTTGGTGACATTACAACCATTCAATAAATTGTCTTTCAGCAGCTGAGTCTGCTGAGTCAAGCTGAAAGAGGATTAGTCCTGCCCTTGCTCTGGAACATACCGGACTGCACCAGCCTGTCTCTTGAAGGGGCTGTGTCTAAAGGCACAGCAGCACGCCTTTGCTCTGCTCCAGGTTAGGAGATAACTATTCCCTGCATTCCTATAGCCTGCTCCTTTGGTGTCCATCCCCTCACCTTGCAGTCTGTGTAACCTGTTCTCTCATTGCTCCGAAATGGGTCTGTAAAATTATGTGATCTGGAGATGGCTTCAACTTCAACACACTTTTAATCACCTCAGATGTTCAGCAGCTTGAGTCTGCATGTTCTACTAACCCTTTGCTGTAAACCTCTTGGACACTGTTATATTCAGCCATTCATGGATTATCCAGCTCAGACCTCAATTTCAATAGATGCAGCTTCATTAGGATGTTAAACTCATATAGTGAAGTTTACTTTCTTATCATCTCCATGAAACAAATATCTCAGTCTCAGGATTTACCTTATCTAGGGATTATTTTGATGGCTGATGCAATAACCTGAATAGAAATGCTAGGTAAAATAGAGCTAAAAATTTAGCCCTGAAATACTAGCTAAAACCTCTGATTATGATTTTTTCTTCATTAATTCAATAGTTTTCCTTTCCATTCTGATGCAAGTCCATCAGTCACATGGAGTTTTTGTCAAAACCAAATAGATGATGTGAGTTAAAGATTTAAAGAAAACTAAGACATCATGAGATGCCTTTAAGACATCATGAGAACTGATGACCAGATTTATGAGTAACAAAAAAATGAGGGGTCTGCACACGCTGAGGTAAAAAATTTCAAGCCTGACAATATCTATATGAATGCTTCAGATTGGTCAACAAGCCAAAGACAGCTCAACCACAGTAGAAAGCAGAGACAGGAGGAATAATTGAAGAAATGAAAACAAGTCAGTGCCTTTTTCATGTTAATAAAGAGTGTCTGCCTTACAGGCCATTCAGAAACATGGGAGGTACATGCAAGTATGAGAGGTTTCTTCTTCTCCCTGTGCACATTAGCTGAGATCATGCAGAATGGAAAATCTTAACTCATTTCCATTACCCCTTATTCTAGGAATGCTTCCCCAAGATCTGCCTGTGTATTCATGACCTGAGAATTCACTGATTTCTTTGCTGGTGGTAACACCTGCATCTGAGGTGCTCAACAGCTCTGCTCCCTATGCTGTTGCTTAGCCCATTGCAGTGAGGAAGAGGAGGAGAAAAGGGATGTGAGAGAACTGGAATTCACTTTTCTTATAAGTCAACCCTAAAAGGTTGAACTGAAATTAAAGACCTGCTGTGTAAGGATCTGATTTCCCAAAACCAATTACATTACTTAATTGCTATCTAAGGTAATGCAAATAGCCCTCTTTGATTTGCCAAACAGAAATCAGAATTTACTGACAGCCTTCTAAGGAAGTTCCTGCTGAAACATGAAGAGAAATGACAAGTGGGGCAGCTGGAGATTGGAGGGTGGAAGGTAGAAGAAAGGCTCCTTTCCCTTGTATTGCTAGCCAAGGTTCCCAAGGGAATTTGAAAGCTTTGGAGACTTAGGCTGGTTGAAGCAGTCCCTGTTTACTGCTAGGCAGGTAGTGGATCAGGAGTCTGCTGCAGGATTTCCCCATCAGCAAGGCAGGTGGAGGTCAGGGGACAAGGTCCCATGGGAACTCAGATGTTCCTGATCTGTCAGGAGCTTGTAGCTGGGTTACTAGGCTGTCAAATGAGCTGCTAAAAGACATCATTACTCCCAGCAGCTGATATTCTCTTTCTGCAAACTATCTATAGGTTATTACCTCCTGTTTAAATGGAAGATTTAATTGATACAAACCCTGCAAAGTGGAAGTTGCTGCCCTCTATCTCTTTCCTTGCACCCTGTTGCAGGGCTTGTCCCAAGGCAGCTGTACTGGCTGCTCTACCCCATGTAGATGGCTCTGAAGCAGTGCCAGTTTTCCCAGAAGCTCCAAAAGCAGACATGAAAGTAGTTCCTATATGACGTGATTTGTGGGACAAAACAAAGGCACTTTTGTATGTAGTTTTGTTTTCTTGCCATCCAGGCCTGCACTGGCCTTTCCCCCTGGCATACAGACCATCAGGGCACAGCAAAATGCACATCCTCATCAAGCTGTAAAGATTTAATTACCCCAAGCCCTAGTTTGTGAGAGAGCAAGTCACATTGGCAGTTGAATTAAACAACTATACTTGCAGCTTTCCTTAAGCTCAACCAGTGAAAAGACTCACTTAAACTCTCTGTCAACATCATGGTTTCCACCACTTCTCTGTCAGCTTTACTATGAATCACTGAGATTGCAGATTTGAGGCAAATCTACTTTCTGAGCTGCTGGGACAGTAAGAGTTAAGCAACTGAGCTGGAAATCCCATGAGATCAGGCTTTTCTAGTGGCAAGATTTCCCATGCTTCCTGCTTTTTGATGTGCTGGAAATACTTTATGCTTGGTCTTTCTTGTGGTATCTTGGCACAACTTCTGTAAATACTTGAAGGGACATCATCAACATAACAATCATGCTTCTGTCTAAAATGTTTTTATTATTCCAAGTCACAACTAAGAGAGAAAGAGATTAAGGTCTCTTTCATTCAGGCACTTGAGCACAGACCAGCTTTTCTAAGTGTCAGTCAGATCATGCTCTAGAAGATTTAGGATTTAAATTCAGGACTATATTGGCTTTGCTGACAGTGCTGGTAGAGAGGAAGTTTTGACAACTTGTTCCCACCCTCACCTCACCACTATTTGCTACCCTGTTGGTTGGCTGTAGTCTGTAAGTGGTTGTCCAGTAAACCTAATCACTTTCTCACTTTCTCCTTTTTTTTTTCTTTTTTTTTTTTTTTGTGTGTGTGCAAGAGAGAGTTGTTGTAATAAGAACAATTTCATCACCCTCTCTTTACAATGATGGCTCACTGTAAAGCTTTATCGCTTTACAGTGATGGCTCACTGGCTTTACAGTTGCTGGCTCCAACAACTACTTTTTGGGCTGAACTGAGAGAATGGCAGCCTGGGGAAGAATGAAACACTCAAAGCAGGGGAGATCAGGAACCTGCAGACAGAACTGCTTGGTGCTGCTAACTGACACTGACCATCTTTGGGCTTTGCACTGCAAACCCAAATTCCACTGCATATATGCACATCACAGCTTCTCCCAAGTCACAAGCCTAAAGGCTGAAATGAAGTTTCTGCTCTCTGCTCTGAAATGATCTTCTTGTGTTGCACAGCCCACCTGGTATGAGCTGTGTGGTTTTCAGGCAGTAATGTTTCTTATTACCTTCATTGTATTTTCAGTAACCACTGAAATGATGCCAACTACAGGGCACCAAACACCTACAGAAGCCCTTTAAAGTTTCCAGTGAGAATATGCATTTGGCAACTAGGTGTTCAGAGCTGAACTGACACTTAACCAAATTCCAAATTCCAGTTGGGCATTATCTTTAGTCTAAAATGAGTCTTGGAGTATGCCTTTGTCATGGTTACAAGCAGGTAAGGAGGTCTGTACTAGAAAACACCTGCTGCTGATAGAAACACTGGCACTGGGATGACATTTCTAGAGTCACTGTCACATTTGTGGGTTATGGTGGTGAGGAAGACTTGCACACAGGCTGCTTTTAATTTATGAAATGTATCCCCAGAATGTGTAAAATGTGCAAACAACTGTCTTCAAATTTCACATGCCGTATCCTCTTTTCACTTGTCCCTCCCACCCTTTTGGTTTCCTCAGCTCACTGTGTATGCCCTCTCTTGCAGGTGAAATGCAGACCCTCCATGTGCCACAGGCTGCTGGGAATGACAGGACACATTCTTCCAGGGCTGCCTGATGACTGCTCCAGAAGGTACACTACAGGAGTGGATAAGGACCCACTAGAAGCCAGGAAGTCTCTAATGTATTGTCCTTTCAAGCAAACAGCTTTAGCTTTTTAATTCTCCACTTACATTAATCATGCCTGTCATGAGCCACTTGGAGAGCTGCAGCCACCTCAGTGTGGCCTGCAAAGCTTCCTGCTTCACTCAGAGCTCTGCTTCTTCAAGTTTCCCTTCCCAATGTTTGTATGAAGCCTACAGGAGATGAGCCAAACAAGATATTTACTTCTTTCACTCAGTAACCGGAGCCTCCCCCATAAGGTGAACCACCAGTGAGGTGGAGGCAATAAGCATCATCTTACTGATGCTGACTCTAGCTCTTCTTCCCACATTGTTACTGAAGTCTTCTTAAACCCTGGTTTTTCATGTCTCCTAGTATTTGTAAAGAGTTTTAGGAGACTTAGAATATTTTATAATATATATATTTTTAAGCTGTTAGCAAATTCATAAGCACTGTGATCAATATTAACAAAAATCAGTCAAGAGCTTCTCTCTGCACAAATGTAATCTCCCTTCTCAATTCCTGTCAGTTTTGGACTTTAAATGTACTTGGTTTGAATTTTTTTCTTTATTTAAAAAAACATGAAGAAGCATAATTTTTCAAAACATGACATCTTGTTAACAACAGATAGGACCAGAGAAACTCTCTCCTACTCGAATACAGGGTAATTGGAGTCTACATAGAGAAATTGTGTCAGTTTAATACTCCTGTGTTGTAAATTTGAAATACTCTAGTTTGGAGAGATATTTGAATCTTAATCCATAGTGAGTGCAGTTTAGCCTCAAATCTTGTACCTTTTTTTTTTTTTTTTTTTTTTTTTTTTTTTGCATTGGCTTGGAGGAAAGGAATCTGGAAACTGGAGTTGTACTCACAATTTTATGACTAGGATCTCTTTCTGCCTTGAAACTCATTTTATCTTCTTATGTGTAAAACGCCCAAGCAAGCAGCTGTGTTTCTTAGTTCATTGAGCTGTAAAATGTGTTGGTGATATTCACCTGTTCCTGATGTCCTGAGATGCCTGGAAGGGCAGAACTCTTCCAAAGGAAAGCTAATGAAGGAGTAAGGCAAGAAGGGCATAGGACTAGCATTGAATTTTAAACAATAAATTGTAAGCAAAATAAAGGAAAATAAAGAATTCTGAATGACCAAGGAGGTTTTCATGTGTAGGAATGTCATCTCTGATGAATGCTAATTAATAGTCCTACTGCAGATCAGGTATATCCTAGAGACTGATGCCTTGGAAGTGCTTTTATTTGATTAAGTTTTATGTCTAGCAGTAGAGAAATTAGGTCATTTTTATATGATGTGAGATTTATACTAAGGAACAATGATTCTGAAAAAAGTTCTGGTTGTGATGTAGTGGCTAAAAGGAACTGCTATGATCCTGACATAGATATCAGGGGTAGACTGTTAGTGGCATTCGTAATACCACTGCAAAACTAGGAATTTGTAACTTAATATTACCTTTTTTTTATTTTTAAAGCATATTGGCAAATTTATAAAAAGAGCTTTTTGAGCCCCCAATTTAAGTTATAAAATGAATGATTTAAGGAGTCCAGATTTTATAGTGTATTGATGAGAATAAGTTTACAATTTAGGGAATGGTGTGGTTGTACCCTGCATTGCATATGGAGAATGCAGCCAGTAACAGTGGGTTTTTTGACTTGTGAGGCAATGGTGGAGCATTCAGAAGCTAAAGGATGATGCAGAGGAGTACAAAGTGTAAAAATTAGGTAGGTGTTTTACCAGGTTTACATTTCTAAATGGCAAAATTTTCTTGTTGAGACATGATTTGTCACTCAACACAAATATTTTATCTCCTGTAAATATATCATGGATTATTCCATGATATTATGGGAAAGGGGTGTGGGGGCCTATTGTTGATAAGGACATGCTTCAATTAAATCAATACAATAATTATTTTTGGCCTTAGTTGTAAAAGTATGAGTATTCCTTAAAAAAATCATTACTTTTTTTCCATTGCTCATCAGAAAAACTTGAAGTTGCCAAAAGAATTTAAGGTTTTATTTCAAGGTATTAATGGTTGAATGTAGACCAAAAGGTCTCCCTCTCTTTAATTTTTTTATGTAGCTCTTCATAGAAATGTCTTTTTGCAGCATGTATCTCTCCAAATGACTCCCTGTTATATGATGCTGTAGTTTTAATCCCACAGCATATGGAAAACATTCCCCTGTATGGAAGAGGTATCGTTTTATAAAGTCGAGATTTTGCTTACCCCGGTGACTCAAAGCAATGTCCCTTTTGTGCTTCCAGAGCGTGATGTAATGAAGCAGACTTCCATGTGCACACACCAAAGCCTGGCTAGATGCATGTGTGCTTGGGATTAGTAGCTGCCAGCCCTGACCTCTGCCTTCCCTGATGGATCAGGATCCACTGCTCCCTACCGCAGAGGGCCAGCAGAAGACCTCCGTGCAATGCAAGCTGCATTTCGGTGCAGTTCTGAGAACTTCTGTGGGATGTGGGTGGGCAGAAGGTTTTGCTCAGTGGAAACATTTAAATTTGAGTTTGGAAACACTTTTACTGGCCAACAAGTTGTTTTCTTTTAAGCTTTCACAGACCGAGGAACATCGTCACATAATTCCATTAGTGAATCCAGCAAGTTTTTGTTAAATTGCAACACCTCTTTCAGGAAGTTATTAAACAATGATTTAGAGACCAAAGATATTACAAATTTACCACTTCCCTTAATGTCTTTTTCCAATCCATAATTGACTCCATTTATTTCCACTTTGAATTTTAGATCTATCTTTTAGCCATTGAAAGTTAATGCACTTTGCTGTCAGCTCACAGTCCTAAGACTAATCACAAATTTTAACATGTGTCACAGATAAAATAAGTCAAAAAGTATGAATAATAATCTCTGTATCTCTTTAAATGCTAGTAAAATTGATTGGTGACCTTCATGCCTTTCACCCACAGTGAGTATTTGAGCTGAAGATAGAAATGCCATTTCTTTGAAGGTGGTGGGTCCCTTTAACTTTGGGTTTGCTTGTCTTTCCGCATTGCACACTGTGATTATCCATCAACAGCAATGCCAGAGGCTCTTGCAGCTTAGCAGGGGCAGCTGGGGACACGACTTTCATCTTGTTGAAACAAATAGGAATATCAAAGTTCTTACAACCCTCTGAAACACGGCAGAGACTTTGAGGTGAATATTTAGCAACTGGGCTAAATATGTGTGGGCAGTGCAAACACAAGCTGCAGCAAACAAGAGCCTTCCAGCCTTTTCTTACAGTTGTCCTACAGAGGACCGAAAGTTGCAAGCAATTTGCTCATTATTAGACCGGAGCCACTGGAGCAGGGCCTCTTCGTGTTGACTCGTGAAACCCTTTCATGCTTATCAGCATACAGCTGGATTTCCTCTGCTTTATCACACTGCCACTTTTCCTGTATGGCTCTCAGTTTTGTTTGGAGTTCTCTGGTCTCGCTATTATATGCAGCTCTCTTTGATGCAACGATAGATCTTGCAACCGTGCTCCGTGAAATGTGCACCTCTCCTGAGGTGTTGTATAATTGCAGGATCACTCTTATCTCACCAATCTTAATGTTTTCTAATTTTTTTGCCCTGGGGTCTTGTTTGAAGCATGGCTTAAGATATCCCTGAAGATTTCCAAATTATTTTATTGGAATTCTTTAGAGTTTTTAATGTTGAGCTTTTAATAAAGCAAAACATTGAGGATGCATGTCTACTCAGTGCACAGTTTCCCTTAGAGTAGCTTGTTTTGAAATGAAAGAAGTATTTTATTCATCAGCAGAAGAACTTCTAATTGTACTTGTTATGATCAGGAGAGGACTCTGGACTGTTTCACATTAATAAAACTCTTCCTCTTACATCAGGATTTTTGCTTGGCTATTCTACATAGCCATTGTGTCCTGAAGTGGTAAACTTGAAATGTGTACTCCCTTGTGACTGAAATGTTGAGAAAATTGTCAAACATAACAGCTATATGCTGCTTTGTAATCTTATGAATAATTTCATATTGGTTGACTCCAGTCTCTACCTTTGCCTCACTTCTGACAGCAGTATTTCTTGTTTTGCTCCCTGAATTTTAAATGTCTTCCACATGTACTTTATAGTTAACTGATTTTGTGTTACCTGCAAATTAAGAGGGTGGCTCCCATCCATGCAAATTAAGATAAAAAATTTCTTTAAGTGGAACCATTTTTATAACATTTTTTCAATGCTGTTTTGAATTCCTGTTTTAATTGATATATTTTTAATCTGTTTTCTCTTCATTTTCTCTTGCTTCCTAAGATACATCACTGCTTTTACATTGCTGTCTGCCTCTTGTTATAGCAGGGAGCTATAGCAGAAGGCAACTGGGCAGCAGTAATAGCATGAACTGGTGCCTAAACAAGCTCATGAAAAGATATTGTATCTAGGAATGAGGAAATAGGGGCTGGAACTGACAAAGTTGTAGGCTTGGGACCTCTGCATAGCGAGTGCAAAGGTGTACTTCCACAAGCAAGGCTGCCATTTTTGAAAGGTGTGGCCCAGTTTGAGGTAAATTCTGCCTCTTTAAGAGTCCTCTGTTTTGGAATAGACCTGTAAATAAAAAAATGTACATCTCCAGATTGTCTTCACAGATATGAAAAGGTAGGAAAAAGTTAGCATGACTGGAGGGTATACAGTACACTGGTGGGGGTGTGGGTTGCACACAACCTGGTGTTATACCTATGGAAATTTGGTGTTTACAGAGTTTCTTTTGCTAAATGTTATTGAGAAAGCCCAGTGAGAGGTTTAGTTGCTTGCAAGAACAAGACACTGTCCCCACTCTCAGGTGTGGGCATTCTAGTTTGGCCCTAGAAATGCAGGTAAACATTGTCTTGCTTCCTTTTTTCTTTGGTGAGAAACCAAGTGCATTGATGTAACTGTTTTTAGCCCTTAGTCCTTCGTTCCCCACCCTCCTGGATAGAGACAAATGCTCACTATGAATTACTTAGCCCAAGTTAATGAACAGAAAACAAACACAGCTCTAGTATTGTCTGTCAGCAATAGCTAATGGTAGTAAGACTGCTATATACCAAAAAAGGTATC